TCAATTTGGAAAAATTAAAAAATTTATTTACTTAGAAAATAAAAACAGTAAAAAGTAAAACAAAGTTAAATAATAGTAACCATGGGGAAGGGTTAAGAAGAAGAAGTCACATTTTTTTTAGTCTTTAAAAGAAATTTTATACTTTTTAGATGGTTTTACCTTTTAAAATTTTTTTTGGTTTTTTTTAGAAGAGGAGGGGAAAACAAATAAACTAAAACTCTCTGGTACTTAAATAAGTAGATCTTTTATTTCTGAAATGCCATTGCATGTTCTCAAAGAACATCACTCGACGATCGGATTCGGCTAAAGACGATGGCGGATACTCCGAGCACATATGAACGTAGTCGGGAGCGATACCTTCAAAGATGCGCATAACATCTTCTTCAGTATAGATACACACGGCGGATGGCGGGTTGTGGTCGTCGAGAAGGAGTCTTTGAACCCCCTGATGGTTCAAACCGATATAAGCCGAGATTGGGGGATAGGCAGATGAAGCAGTGGACGAAGCGTCGGACGAGGTTGAAGGCGCTGAGCTAGATTGCGAAGACGGAGCCGGAGAACTAGAATTCGAAGAGAGGTCGATCGGAGCCGTGGTCTTTAAGAAAGGGACCGGGAGTCCGGGGGGAAGCTCCTGCAAGTTTGAAATGAAACAAGTTAATCAAATCAGTAACCAAATCAACAAGGTAGAAGAGAAGAAAGCAAGAACTCACCGGGTCGTTCTCATTCCACGCGACACAAACGAATGGATGAGGGTCGTTATAAATACTTATTCTGGGGACTGCGGTGGGGATTGAGGACTTGAAAAAAGGGAGACACAATCAGTGTCAAGATCAACAACAAACAAACAAACAAAGGAATGGAACTTACGAGGTCATAACGTTCTTGAGGATCGTAAACGAAATGCCATTTCGACTTGAGGGGGTAGTAGTAGCCTGGGGTTTCCACGATTTCCATCCCTTTTGGAATAACGATCTTCTCCATGGGGCCAGTACTAGTCGACTAGAATCGAAGGAAGACACACAATGAATCAGGATTGAAAAGGGGGGCTAGTTTCAGGAGAAAAGGAAGGGGAACTTACTCGAAAAAGATTGTTAGACAGCACGGGGTCAATCGGCGCCTTCCCATTGGAACCACTAGCGGTTCTGGTAATCTAAAATATCAGTCAGAAGCGAAGTCAGATCATGATGATACACACAACAAAACGAAGAAAATCGACTTACTGGTTTGGCCTCTTCAATGACTGGTGGATCCACAACCATGTCATTTGGAGATGGTTGAGAAGCTTGAGAGGGTTCTGGCTCCCAAGCGGGACTCCATTGATCGCGATCGGGATAGTAGCGAATCCCATTCTGGACATAGTCATACTAAGATCGAATCAACACACACATTAGCATCAAGAAACAGACTCGTCAAGAACATAAGAAACTTATCACTTACTCCGATCAGAGGCTCGGAGCGCATGTCGTCAAGTGTGTAGTCCGGGGTGGAGTAGCGAGAAGACATCTTTAATTTTGTTTGATGGAAGGAGTTTTGAAGGTGAAGTTGTGACTGGGGAGTAGGGAATGGGCTTTGGATGAAGCTGACTGATGAAGGAAGTGGTTGAGGAGAAAGAGGAACCGACAGTATGCCAAGGGTATTTATAGAAAAACGAGGACCCCTCGACTCGGACCTACCAATGCCGGGACTTCTCCATGATCGATTCAAGACCAGTGGCGAAGGCTTTCCTTTTCGAACGGTTGAGGCCATCCTACGTTCCTTTATTCAAATCGGCGAGTGTCTTGGATACAAAAAGAGGATTGATTTGTATTCAAGATGACTAGGCTAAACCATCGAAGCACTACTTAAAAAACAAAGGAACGACGATCGAAAACAATCGTCAACTAAAGAGACTACACGAGACTAGAGAAAAGAAAGAGAAATCCGAAATAAAAGAAACTCACCTAGGTTGCTGCAGCTATCCGCCAGACTCGCCGCGGAGATGGTCTAAAAAAACGATCGACGACTATCCAGAACAGAGGCAGCGTTTTTTTTAGATCAGTAATAAGAAGATTGTTACAAATAAAACAGAAACTAGAATACAGGGGAAAACTTACCGGCGGGGAAGGATCGTCGACTAGTTTGAGGATCGCCGATAGTCGAATCGATGAGAAGTTGGAAGAAGTTTGGAACGAGGAGGACCCACGGAGAGGCTGGCGCGGAGTTCTAAGGCCGATCGGACCCTGTCACGATCTGTGACAGGGCATGGAAAGTTAAACCGGGCGCGCTTGGATTACTACATCACATAGACTGCAACCTTCAAATCTACCATAGTCGAGTCAGTAAGCACAGCGACATTCAGGATGCTGCGAACACGAGTTCGAGCCTCACTTTGTGTCAATTTTGGATAACCCAACCTATCAGCATATATCTATTGAGTGCCCCCTCTCTTTTTTGAGGTCAAAAGATTAAAACCTAGAAAATCATGGTTTTTTTTCCTAACTCTATAAAATTCCATGAGTAAAACATTACACAACTTACAAAATTCACAGTTTAAACTGGGTTCATAAACCCTCATCTGGCCCAATTCCTACTAAGATTAAGTCAAAAACACCTTGGAATTTTTTTACTTTCATCACTCACGGATGGAATAATCTCAAGACAAAACAACTGAATAATCAACCACAACAGCTTATCAAGTAAAACTCTGAAACAAATCAACACTACGTAACAAAATCTCATCAATTCTTCGCCAATCAGGACTCCACGGATGATTTCACCAACTCCTCAACACGCTTCAAGATAAATCCCAACAATACACGACCAAAAATGTTCTTTTTTTTATTTGTAATATTAGCTCCAAAACACAGTCAGAATCAGAATTGACTGGGGACAGCCAATAAGTTGGGGGAGGATGTGGTAAATAATACTGTGTTTCTACGCAGAAAATATAAAAATTTCTCATTATCTCTTTATTCATTCAAGATATGGTAAGAATGACATCAAAAATGGAATCCTCAGGTAAAATAACTCCTATTCACTCACTACAACCATACCCTTATCTCTTATAGTTTGGAAGTTACACAGATTTCAACCTGTCACGGGATATTTCTTGGATTCTTCACTCTAGCCATAGTCATTATGAATACAGGATGCATATTGCATACTGAATACCTTTGTAGTAAATTGAATACCTTTACGTTGTTTTGAATCCCTTTGTATTAGTGATATTGCATGTATGCATCCCTTTGATCATACATATGTGTCCCTTTATTCATTCATATGCATCCCTTTGTAGTAGTATCTCACAGCCTGTACCCTGGGGCCAAAATCCCTCACATTTGTCTATATAAGGAGGCCTCTGCCTGCCAGTTGTTCCCTCCATCATCCCACCAGTGGACCAGATCATCTCAACCACCCTTATAAATAAATACATCTTATATATTATTTCATAACTACAAGTCATAGCCACATTACAATTTCAGAATTATATACATTGAAATACAGATTTAACACTTTCATCAACATCATAAACCAAAAGTGCCCTGAACCATATTCAACAAAAACAACTTCATCAATATAACCAAAAATCAATAACATCTTTAAACCCTCACACATATCAATCGGCAGCTTCATCTCGAACTTATCCCTATCACTATATATAAAATTGCCAAGCTAAGCTTGGTGGTCTTGTTATTCTGATAGTATAGAAGGGCAGAGCTTGCAACTCCAACATACCCTTCTCCATTCAGCAAAAGGGTTTTCATAACCACTTTTGAGTCTTACAAGGGAGTCCCCAACGTGATAGGATAACCTCCGATTGGAATCGTGTGACCAATTTTTAACGAAAGAAGAAGATAATCAAGAAGACATCGACCAAGGATCATTACTTTAGCGGTAAACGGAACGAATTCATCAACCATACCTGTAACAACTCAACGGCATATTCAGTTATTCTGTTGATCAACTAGTCAAACTTCAGTAAAACAATTCAACGAAACAATCAACGAACCTCTGAAAAAGAAAGTGTAACCATCAACTGAAAACGAGTATCTCGAAGGAGGCAGCCAGTTATTGACCAAAAGAAGGAAGACCACCGAAGGATTTGGATAACTTGGATACTGTTTGAAGAGGACTTAGGAACTATTCGAAGGAAGCAGCTGCTTATTGACCAAAAGAAGGAAGACCACCGAAGAATTTGGATAAGTAGATCCTGTTAGAAGAAGAAATTCCCAGTATTATTTGAATTATTATTTTAGAGAATCATTAAACTTGCCCTGGTAAAGAGACCAGAGACCATAGTATTATTTTGTTTCTTTTTCAGAGCAACCGTTAGTTTAGTTATCCGAGGAGCGTCAAGTAAGAAAAAACTAGGAAAATCAATCACAATCAACATGAGTCTACCGTTCAGTACACCAGATTTGGAAGACGGATTTGCACCATCAACCCCTTTTAGGAAACAAATCTTTGACAGATCTTCGGGATCATCTTCAGCTTTTAATTTGAATTAGGAACTACGATGCCACTTGTATACCAAAAGCCAATGGCCAACTCAAATCCTTGCGGAACCTAGCCTCTTCTATGATGCAAATCATTTTATGACGTTTCATAAGCGATTTCTTGGACAAATTTTGTGGATGGAAGAATCAACGATGGCGTGCAGAGCAGCTGGATTGATTTATGCGGAAGAATGAACAATGGAACAGATGAAAACATTAACAATTGAACAATTGGTGCCAATCAACGATGGAAATGAAGACGTACCCACAACGCTGGATGTATACGAGGAATTTGAATGGTAGTAACTCTGACGGATGAAGATCAAAAACTGGTGGGAATCAAAATTTGTAAAAATCAAAGCCTCCTAGGCATGAGGAAAAACTGCATTAACCAACACTCACTTTAAAAGTCACATTCCCTTCAATTTTTGCAAAAAAGAGGATAATCAGTACAATTTTCAAAGTAGTTATACATAGTTTTTGAATAAATTCAAGTTCTACTAAATAGTCACACAGAAGAAATTACCACAATTCTAGTAAACAAAAATCAGCCTAATTCAACAAGATACTTGGAATGGAAAAATAATTCACAAGAGCTTTCAATTTGGACGACTCACAATTTCAACTGATTGAAAAGACACCTTCAAGACTGGACCGTGAATTCAAATAATCAACCTTGTGGGAAACTAAAATTGGAGCAGTATTAAATAATTTTTTAAAAAAAAATTTCTCTTAATGATTTTGAAAAGTTGGGGGAGGAGCTCACATTCCTTTATTAATCACTCATTTAAAACCCTTCCTCCCTTAGATAGTCCTTATATCCCTTAATTAATAATCAAAATGCTTGCTTAATATCTAAAAAATCTTTTAAATAGCAAAAATTAATTAGCTAAATCCTCAACTTACAGAAAATAACCAAATAAAACACTGTCAGTAGACATAAATGTTTGAAGTTGGGGGAGGAAACTTTCATACTTTACTTACATTAACACTATCATCAATTTAACCCACCTCATTATCCTTAAGTATCTCCTCCAAAACACACCTTTTTTATTTTTATTTTTATTATACCCTGTTTTTATGGTCATTTTTTTTTATCAGTTTATTTAGTATCTCAAAGTAATTTCTGGATTGAAGCTCTCTCATCGTTTCTCTACTATCTAAAAACTCTTTTCTGGATCAAATTTCTATATCAGTTTTTTATCATCTCAAAGTCTTTTCTTGATTAGTTTTTTTTATATATCAGTTTCTTTATTATCTCAAAGTCTATTGTGGTTTGAATTTCTTTATCAGTTTTATTTATCATCTCACACTATTCTCTGGCCTGCATTTCTTTCTTTCTTTCTTTTGTTTCTCAAATTCTTTCTGGATTGAAGTTCTCGTAGTTTCTCTATTATCTAAAAACTCTTTTATGGATCAAATTTCTATATATCAGTTTCTTCATTATCTCAAAGTCTTTTCTATCAATTCCTTACTCTCTATCAGTTCCATACTTTCTGTCAATTTCTTACTATCTCAAACTCTTTTCTGGATGCAGTGTCTGTTTCATTTCTTCTTTAGTATCTCAAATTTTTTCCTGGAGTTTATTTTTCCTCTCTCAATAAGTCATTTTTCTCAATCACTTACTTATCATCTTCATCAGTTTTTTTTGAGTAGAAGGTTGAGGAAAAACTCATTAGTTGGGGGAGGAATATTTCATACTTGACTCACATTTTTACTATCTTCAATTTTTTCTCTTATCTCTACAATTTTCATTCAAGAGACACTCATCTCTTCATCTCTCTGCTCAATTTATCTTTATTCTCTGAATCATTCAAATCACTTACTCTTAGACTTGCCTCAAATCCATTATCTTAAAGGTTGAGGACAACCTCATAAGTTGGGGGAGGGGTACAGCTCTCATCTCTCACTTGATTTTTTTTTCCATTTCAAGTCGTCTTCTCATCTTTTTTTCAACAGCTCCAACCAATCAGGCTAGTACAATGCAAAAGGATCAAGAAGGAGTTCTAGGAATTCATTAGTTCAATC